CTGCTGTATCTCCCGCTGGGGAATGGAGACTGGGCTCCCAATTCCCGGCACATCACTCGGCCGCTGGGGAATGGAGACTGAGCTCCCAATTCCCAAAAAATCACGCTGCTGCTGGGGGATGGAGACTGGGCTCCCAATTCCCGGCATATCACACTGCCGCTGGGGAGAGGAGACTGGGCTCTCTCTGTCCCGCAACTGTAGCTGCCGGTGGAAGTCCACCCACCGTGGCAGCTGACCGTCACCCTCTGCCCGGTACAGCAGAGTCTTGAATACTAGACTCCTCACGAACTTTACGGATTTCTCAGCTGGATTAGGCCCGTAGAAGTTCAGCCGCAACCACATCATACGGTCAAATTCCTGTACAGAGTATCTGTACTCCACTGCTGGTTCCATTCTGTTGCTGTCAGGGTCGCTGTACTGAGACATGCGTTGCCCTCAAATTGTAAAATCCGCGGAATGGTGTCTCCTGTAGCTGTCCTTCTGGTTGTAGGAACGATCCCACCGCTGCCACCAATTGTAACGGACCGTTTTGCACACAAGGGGTAAAAACCGTTTAGGCGATCGGCCCCCTTTCCAGAGATACAGGCACAGCTACTGCAGAACACCAGACTCCCGAACTGGATACAAAATAGCACTCCAACTCCCAAACTGGAACCTCCCAAATAGCTGCTAGCAGACGAACAGGAAAAGCAGACAAACCGCTTACACTCCTGGCAATCAGTCTCTAACAGCATACAGTGAATCCCCCCCAAGAACGAGACAAGGCTCTGTGTTGAGGGTCAAGCAGTGGTCTGAATCAGACCAGGGGTTCAAAAGTTAGTAAAAAGTCCTTTGTGACTAAATGAAGCATGGCTTTCTGGCCCAAACCAGTTTCAGAGTCTTCTATCCTGAGATAAGTAATTCAATTATCTCCCAGGATAGACACAAGACTCCATTAAGCACATGGTTGCAAAAAGACACAAAACACTTTAAAATACATAAAGTCACATTTATACATAAAACACAGACATTTAACATATCCCCAGATAGCTCAGGTCTGAGTGCACATTATTAAGTGAATGGCGCTCAGACCACACAAATACAGTTTAATCGCCATGGAGCCAAAGTCTTTACAGTCAGTTTATACAAATGGGCTCCATGGGATTCCTATCTTGGGTATAACACATTCAAACAAATCAAACAAATCTACCGTACCCCAGGCAGAAAATCACGAATTAAGCTTTTCTGCAGGGAAAAAATATGTCTTTTAACAGGGGGCCATAGTCCAAAGGCAGCAGACGAGTAACCAGGCTTCTCCAATGCAATGTGGCGAGATTGGTCTCGTCACAACAGCCAAATACAGTTTCACACAAAAATGCATAACTCGTATAATTTTACTTGGATTTATCCGAATGACCCCTCACTGAATAGCTGGGATCTGAGCACACCATCTGGTGAAATACCACTCAGATCCATTCACTAGAACGGGAGAGCCATTCGAATGATGGTTTCATACGAACTTACATTGCAATGTGACAATAGACGATGTACGTTAATTTACCGAATTAATACTTTATCTGAAAGGCATGAAAGTCCAGCAGTGTTGGTGAAGTCGAGTAGCTGATTTTCGTTCAAGGCACTCAACGACCAAACACTGCTGGGCTTTCGTGAACAAAGATGGCCGCCGCCACGTGTTCAGTTATACGAACAGCGGCCACAATAAAACCCATTAACACTGCTGCTAGTTCGTTAATTGGAGACACACGACCCTCTTTGTGTGGTCTCCTGTTCAGCGGTTCATTCGTTTCACGAACGGAGTAAGGGAATATTGGTTGTGAGATTTAGCATACGAATGCTATAGTCTTTCAATGTAAAAATACCACACAAATACAGTCTGAAGTTGCTAGGTTTGCCACAAAAATAATTAGCAAAGTCCATCCCCTGTTATTAGGCCGGACGTGTACCTTAATTGATTCAGCAGAAATCTTCCCAGGTTGCTATGAAGGTAAGCATGAAGGATTAATAATGTAATAATTTGGTAATATTGGCCAAATAATACCCTAATCCAATGAAGTTGCTTCGTGTCTAGGTGCATCACCCAGTTCTGGACCTGAACACAAACTGTCAGAATCCCATCTTCTTTCTCTCCTCCTCTCTGTCATTACGCGTATTGTAGGGCTGTTATAACCAAATCTGAAACAGAAGGTTTTAATGAGCCCCACCATGGGTTAGTAGGACAAACTGTAAAACACCCAGGTACTGGCTGACCTATCTTATGCCAACTGGCAATACAATTAAGTTCCAATTAATGACTTGGAAGATGTAACTAGTTGCCAAGTGGCGATGAGTGGCACTATCTATGAGTTGGGCCGTTGGGTAAGTAGGCTATCAAGCATTGTGATGAGGTGTTGGCCTTTTGGTGACCGTAAAGATATTTAAGATAGATTGTCCTTGCATGATGACTTGAAAACCATGAACGAAAAAACGTAATTTGACTAAATAGATATACACCGGAAAGATTGAGAAAATAAGTCGTTTATGAAATATAGAAAACTGAAACTTCACAGAAAGTATAAGTGAATAGAAAAATGTAAGACAAAAAGTGTACAGATGCTCAATAGCCTAAAACCAAACCAGTACTATAAAGTGAAGTGATTGGGTTACAGAACCATTTAACATAAAACAATATACTATTACTACCATTAACAATACAA